CAAGGGCTATCCAATGATATGCTTTTGAAATATACATCATTTTTCATTATGGCAGAAAAATAAGTAAAGGAGTGTTTAAAGCACTAAGATAGGTGAAAATTATAATAACGGCCAAGTATTTCGACCATTGACCCATGTGGGCATATTCTTGAAAGATCTATTTATAGCTCATTTTGAAGCCCGTGAAATTCTCTATCGAACGATATATAAAGTAGCGTGGTTAACGAGAAAATTAATGAATATTATAATCATGAACGACGCTGCTCTACTGGTTTGCTGACATGCTACCGAGTATTTCGGATATTAGACTACCCAGTTGTATTTTTTTAAGACTATCTTACATATCATTCGGAAGCTCGTAAAATTTTCTATTGAACGGTGTATAATAGTTGATATTTGGTATAGGTGAAAGAGGTGGAATAATGTAAATACTTTGAGTAAAGGTCGCTTAACGCGAGAAGAGTCCTTTCAATGAGAAGCAGTTTTGAGTATGAAGCGCCCCCTTAGATGAATTTTGCAATAGTGCATTTTATAGAGCGAACTCGCACACAGTTTCTAGCAAAGTTTGGCTTCTGTTCACTTCTCTTGTGAGGTACACGACTCAAAATACTAAGCAACATTAAAATCGATAAACCATACAAATCGATAAAAAGTCTCATTTTTCTCCATCAATATGAGGGGAGCAGAAACGTCGAATATATCAGCGTGTAGCCCAAGACGATATCTACGCAAGTATAGATTGGAAATACTTTTTTTAAAAAATTGACTCTAGATCCTGTATGCTGATATGAAAACGAACGTCACTATATACCGTTCGATGCGTCTTGAGCTGCTCTACAAAACTGTATACTTAGCTTCTTATTTCATGGGGGGGTCACCAAATCCGCCAGGGTCCTTTTTTCTATATCCTTATCGGGATATAGAAAAAAGGACATATATATCCCAATCAGGATATAGGAGGTCCCCTTACTAACAGAACTCGCAGTCACTACGCACAAGTGCAGAGTAGATTTAATTTTGGCTTCTCAAGCATAAAACACTGATCAGAACTGTCTGCTTACTAACAGAAGACTCATAAAAGTCTACAGTGTTTTTCAGTCGCTTTAAGAATCAAAGTCCTATTAAGAACGTTGGCCACATGTACATGTAAGTATAATTTAGCGCAGTAAAACAGGTTTTGTTAATGGAAGTATCGTGCAATCCGTGATTAACGAAAGGAGATGATCCAAAACAGCGCGAATGCGATTTGAGCCTAAATGTGTATTTAGTTTTAATGGGGTTTTAAACCAATATCTTCGTCATAAGTGAACATAATTAGTTTTTGTTGAAAATTTCTCTGGTAAATATGTGTTGAATGTATAAAACCGTAGAATCAACTTGACCATGAAAACACACACCAACATATGGCGCGTGTTAGACAATGATTTATGTGTGAAAAGAAACTGAGAGCACTTACTGTCCAAAATTGTAGCTTGGGATGTCAAAAACAGCAGTATACAATTCTAATGGTAGAAAAAAACGGGAAAATCATGTTTTACTTTGTGACAATACACAAAGAAACGATACTTACACTCCATCAATCTGCAGAAGAAAAAACTCAGAATATTGCGGGCAAATTAAGACAAAAAAGAGTATATACGAAACACCATAAACTAAATGTTGAGTCGTACGCCTACTATCTTACGAACCGTCAAAAAACGGCTGATGTTTATACCATTAGCTAATCACACACGCAGCTTATGGGTTTTGTTTTTGCTTAGCGTGTACACAATAATTAGGTATATGTGAAAGCGTCGTCATCATCATCATCATTACTTACAGACATAGAACCGTGAATCAATGGACTGTGACTTCCATGATAATATTTTTATTTTTGTGCACTTATCACCACATAACTGTGTCGAAGAGAGAGAAAGAGTGTGAAAGGAGAAGCACGTTTAAACATGGACTGTATTTACTAACTAATTAAAAATTTCTTACAAAATGGTTGATTTGGGAAATTCGGATGCAAAAGCAGGTAGACGTAAATGGAATTTATTCTTTGGGCGAAAACCCATTCCTACGATTATAACAACAGATCACAGCGCCTATCCTCCGCTACCAGTTAAACAGCGAATAAATCCAGATGCATACGATACCGATGGCGGTACGAATGACCGTCACTATTTAACATCTCATCATAATTCACCAATATCACCTCAAATTCTAAGACGACATGGTGCTAGTCAGACGTCTTCTCCTCGAACGCCGTCTCGCAATTCGTTTACAAAAGGAACACTTTCACATGCCACATTAAACCCACAAGATCACCATCATCATGAAGAACATGAAATATATTCAAATTTACCTGCACGACAAGATATTCGTAAGCACATTCGAAATAGTCGAATACTACCAACAGCGATGGCTACCACAACACCTTCTGCGCATGAGTCTTTACCAGCACGACATACTCTGTCAATAATAGATCATCATCAAGCGGTAGGTCGCCGATCACCGACAGTTGCACATGATGTTCATGAACAGCAACGTCAAGCAAAAGAGCGTATCCAAAATCACTTGATTTCACATCAAACAGCACCATTGAGATTCATATTTATTCGTCATGCTGAACGAGCAAATCAAGCGCTTGGACCTGAGTGGTTTTTACGCGCATTTGATCAGCGAACGGGCGCTTATCATCGATATGATGTTAATTTACCAGAAACGTTACCAACACGAACAAATTATCAAGCGTATGAATTGGATCCACCATTGACAGGTATAAGATTTGTTATACTTTAGTTCCTAAGCTTTCATCGTTATTTTGTTCGTTTCTCGTAGTGAAAGGATTGAAACTTGCTCGAATAACCGGTGAAAAACTGATGAATAATCGTTTGTCAGCGACTGTTTGTTTAACATCATCCGCTCTTCGTTGTGTTCAAACAGGTGAGCGTTTGCTAATCGGTATGCAACGTCAAGAACGTATTCCGATTCGTGTTGAACCTGGTCTTTTCGAATGTCCACATTTTAACCCTAACCTAGTTGACAGTTTTATGACGAAAAATGAGTTGTTATCGAATTATTATAATGTAAAAGCCGACTACAAGCCTATTATACCAAAGATAAATGTTCCTGAAACATTAGAACAATATTTTCTGCGCAGTCAATTTGTTATGCAACACATTATTAATCGTTATTCACTTCGTGGTGGAAATGTGCTGATTGTTACACATGCACCCGGACTCATTGCACTAACAGATGCGCTACTAGGAAACAAATCAGATGCGAATACACTCTATGGAACCGCGAGTCGGCTTGAATATCTAACCAGTATAATCGCTGAATATGAAAGTGGACGATGGAAATTTCGTGATCAACCGTTAGATTAAGGAAAGAACAGGAGGCAAACAAGAACGAATCATCCATATATCTTGTTAATTTAAACTTTCGTCATACTCACCGTCGTATCATCAAGTGATTGCTTACTGATTGCTAGTGCAAGTTAAAAATTATATAAATAATTACGACACGCGTAGTTCGGAGCAGTAAGGCTGAGAAAAAATAAATGTGTGAAAGCTAAAAAAGGCAAATGAAAATACACACAAAGAATGTTCGCTGTTAGAAGAGGATGCAGCTTACAGCCATTGCGCGTAAAGAATGAGCTATTTTACTATGCATTGCTAAAAAAGATCGGTGTTCGATTTGCTAGTCCAAATTTTCATCACAGATAGCGTCAACACATCTCTAGGCTCTCAAAAATTCTTGATCAGAGAACGCTTCTTCCAAAGTTAGAGCTCTTTTACGAAAAGGGCTAAAAAGCATTAAAAAATAGAAAAATGTAATTTGTAATTATTGTAATGGGCGCGGCAAAACGAATGTCACCTTTTGTATTTTGCAATTATCCCGGTCGGCTCTCATTGCAGAGAGTTGAGCTTAGTCTCAACAGACTCTCCGTTCAATTCTGGACAAGAAGATATAAAAACCTTCCATTCAAAGTTCAATTGAGAAAATTTGAACAGATAATACTGCGAAGCTCCAATATAGCCAATTTTCTCGTCTAAAAAAGAATTTTTTGTTTTCTATTCGATGGCACTTAAAGGAGTGAAGAAAACTCATCAGTTATTTAGCAGCGCTTGAAAAGCTCTACATTTTACCTTAGCTGTAAACAAAAAATTTCGCATTAAAATTTCCTATAGAAAAGAACGTTCCTTTTTTCAGATTTTGGTCCTAAATCTGCTACTGTTTTGGACCATCCAAGAAAACTCGAAAAACTGTTTTTAGCTTTTATCTTGAAGCTTTATTCTGTCAGAATACAAGCGGAAAATATTCCATACTAGTATTCTAAACTAAAACTATCGAAAAAAACACAAAATTAATTTTGTACGAATAGAGATTCGAACATGTGAACTTAGCTTTGTAGTAAACTACTACAAAGCTTTTATCTTGAAGGGAAATGCATGATGAACCGCTCGCAATCGTCGGTATATCAACATATAGGCATTTTTTTCTTCAGGTGTTGCCAACCTGGGACTAGTGGGCTTTTATAGCCGATGGTCGACTGAGTGGATCGGCCCTACATTGGCTCCAACGTATGACCAACACTCCAGCAAAAAAAATTTAAATAAGATTTGCAGCGAAATAAAGCAGAAAAATAATAAAAATTAAGCACTGACGAGTTTCGAACCTCGGCACTCGCTTATCATGGGCGTAGTGTTTAACCTATTTTGCTTAATAGCGTATATCAACAGATAAGTATTTCGAGTGAAATTTGAATCAAAACTAGAGTTAGTTGTAAACGACTTGACCGTATTTTCTATAAATAACTTTGTTTCCTTTTGCACAATTTAGTGCAAGGGGAAAATGCGTAGTTGGAGAAGTGCAGCGTATGAAAGGTCGGAAGATCGAATCTAGGAGAAGAACATCTAAAAATTGTCCTCTACATACTGAGAAAAAACCTTACGACCTGAAAGCAGTCGCGGATGAAGAGAAAATAGCTTCGGTGCACCCAAAGGGACCCGTCCACCGCAAAGGAATCAACTCATTCCAATTTCTGAAGAAAATTTCAACTTTATGCAGGTGAAGCTATTCTCTGTGCTATCATAGGAAAGTTAAACGTTAGTAAAATAAAAACTATTCCTAAATCCAAGTGCCTACTTGTTATTATAGTCATAATGTAATGAAGGAAGGCTGTTCTTAGTGTACTCAAAACTTCTTAACATTTGTATATCTATAAACTCTTAAAAATTTTATATCTCTGAGAGAACTTGTTTGGTATGTCTGGAAACTCGTGTACCAATGTAACTTGACTTGCTCTACAAACTGACCATATCCGAATCTTTCCGTTCAACTATCCGGGGCTGACCTCCAGAGACCTGATTGCTGGAGATCCATACTAGAAAGTCATATGGACCGAAATGAATATCAGACTCGTAATCAGCATCAAAAATAACCCATGAAAAAGTATGTTTTGATTAAATCGCGATGAATCACTTGGAACGGTTTCCTCATGAGAAAGACTTGGTAGTTGGGAAACAGAGTTTTTCGATACTTCGAAGTACCCTCTATAAACCTACATTGTTAAAATATTTTTCTGGACACTTTCATTTTGGGCATTTTTTTCTTTAAAAACGGTTTAGGAAATTAAATTTTCAGCATTTCGTGTTTCATACTCAAGTTAGAGTATTCACAGACACGCATATTTGTATGGCTTTAATCAATATTTGAACTAAAGGTTTCTGATTTCACAAAAATAATCAAATAGTTATAAAAGTAGCTTCATATACGTAACTTAATATGCTCTGCAAAATAATTGACTTGAAAATCCCAAATACAACTGGAAAATTTCATGTTTTGCTGTTCTAGAAACCTCAGTTGTTTTCCCACGGGTTTACAAAAATCCCATCATGACTCATGATAGTACAATTGGTGTACTCCAACGATATTTTCCGGGAGATAATCATCCTCCAAAATGTGCATATCGATAATTTGGGCTCTCACAGCTTCATTCTTTCTCCATTTTGAAATGGAGAAAAAAACTCCCTTAAAATGGAGATTTAACGGGCATATTTATTTGACACTAGCTAACGATCTAATAAATGGACGGAAAATGTCATTTAATGGTGTCCGTACAATGACATTTTTTCGGGTATTGACTATGATCTGGCATTGTTTTCACCGTTTTTGCAAAGTCGAAAAAAGTCATTATAATTAGTTTTGGATTCTAAACTCTTCCTTCTAAATTTTTATTAACAAAAAATTATTTCACAAAAACTTTATTGGAGTGTAAATGCTGGACCATTTCAGAGTTAGACTGTTCGTTATCTTTCAAAATTTCCATCTCATGTTGCTTCATTCTGTTCCAAAGACCCATTTTCGTCTCACCGTTGTACACACTTTTGCAGTCACAAGAGATCTGGTAAACGCGTCCCATCGGAATTCCAATCCCTCGAAATGATTAGCCCATCGAAACTTAAATTTCCAACCCTCTACAGTTTTTCGAACCATCG